TGAAACTTTTTTTCCTCACCTGTCTCCATCCTGTTGCCGAGCCTTTTTATTCAACCCCGTCCTATTAGGCACACAGCAACCTCACGTCAGCCCTGCCAACTAATGATGTTTCCGTACTTGTGTTGGCTCAAGCTTTGCAAAACGGCATAACCAATTTAATTTGGCTTGGCCTGTGTACTTATCAGAATCTCAGGATTATCATTCTCAGTTCGTGGTCTGTTGGTTATTTGGATGATAACAAGCAAAATCTAAGACAAACAGCAGCAGACAACTTTAAATATATATTCAGGTTGATTAGATTTCGGCACTTCAACTAGGAAAAATTAATATAAGAGGCCTGGGCTTCTGAAATTCACGTCTGTCCGGGGTGAATCACGGTACTCGTGGCAATGTGGTGTAGTGGTAAAAAGTCGAGATCACACGATACACTATTCTGCTGGGTGGTTATGAGATCAAGGCGAGATTTTACCTGCAATCCACTCTGGATGATAATTGTCTGAGGAGAAGCTATAAAGGTAGAACCAAATAACTGAATCATGCTTTTAGCAATAAAAAAAAATTGAACCTGATATTTTCGACAAATTATACGTTAAATGTGATCCCTTTGGATACAACAAGGCCGAGAAGAGAAAATTAAGACTAAACAAAGGTATGAAGACCAAGATGGTATGGCCCTTTGTGTGGTCGCAGTCTTCTTTCATTGCATAGAAGTTTTTTTACCTTGTTTTCACAATTTTTTGATATTGGTAGGAAGACTTAGAGGAATGCACCTAGCCCGGAGTCCATTGTATGCGGGATAATTTCCAGAGTCCGATCGTGGACGTGGTACGTTCCCAGACGTTTTGCCGGCATCGTCAGTGAGTCTTGCCAGTCCTAGCACCACACTACAACTCGTCAAAGAGATAAGGTGAGCCGATCCTTTGACCAATTGTGTGTTAAACATTCGTGATATCTCCTTGCGCATTGGGCTAATCACCAATCCTATATCCTCGTATCACTCCTTCACTATCACACTTCTTACTTGCTAATTTAAATGTAGTATGGTATGCCCTTTTGAGCGGCTCTCATAAGAACTCTCCATACCACACTGGCTTCCTCATCCCATTTCACCCTTGTGCTGGGTATGCTGATCAAAATCCTCTTTCCCTAGGTCTTGTCATAGTCTCCTTCTTGCCCCCTAGGATCCCTATGATATCCCTCTGGTTCAAGTATTTCATTCGATCCCTGCCACCCCAACTACGCTACTCGGGGAGTTATTTTCCGCATTCTGCCTCTGGGAGACTAACTTAAGGCTAAAGCCTCTGAATAACTCTCATAGCGAAGCCTTTGCTATATGGACCACATCTAATGTAAAACAGGGTGACGGCCTACTATCCGCCAACTAATTCTAGTCTTCGCAGCGTCTATCCTTTTTCTATCCGTAATACCATGTCTATGACTTATTATGCCCTAGTCTCCTGTGTGCCAACCAACAAATGTCTTGGTACTGCTTGCTTTGATTAGGTTCAATGTAGAACCACAACATTGGTGGGTTGGCATACAAGAGACTAGGGCATATGAAAACATAGGCTTGGTATTAGGGATATAAATTTGATAGACGCGGCTGCGACTAGAGCTAGTTGGCTGACAGTTTTACCTGCCTGCTTTACCATAACGTGGTACATGTATACAGATAGGTTCGCAGGGTTCGAGTGAAATACTTGAGCCAGGGAGATAGCATACGGATCTTGCGGGGCAAGAGGGAGACTCTGAGATGACCTAGGGAATGAGGAGTGCGTAACAATATGGCAGACTTATCAACATATCCAGCACAAGGGTGAAGGAGGGGAAAGAGAAAGCCAGCGTGGTGTAAAGAGTTTTCATGAGAGCCGCTCAAAAGGGCACACCATACAACATTTAAATAAGCAAGTAAAAAAATGTGATGGTGAATGTGTGATACGAGGATATAGGATTGGTGATTTGCTCAAGGGGAAGGAGAGATAGCACGATTGTTTAGCAGATAATTGGTCAAAGGATCTGCTTTACTTGTCTCTTTGACGAGTCGTAGTGTGGTGCTAAGACTGGCAAGACTGACTGACGATGCCGGCGAAACGTCTGGGAATGTACTACGTTCACGGTATGACTGGAAATTATTATACATACAGTGAAATCTGGGTTAGGTGCGTCCTTCTAAGTCTTCCTACTAATATGGTAAAGTTGCGAAAACAAGGTCAAACAACTTCTAAGTTTAACCAAGTTACTCTGCCGCCTTTTGTTTGGTCAGTTTTACTTACCGTATGGTTTGGGAGAGGGATTGCAGTTTCGAATTGAGACTGATTCAAGAATAAAAAATTTTTTAATATAGTCTTTCTCAGGATTATTTTCAATTTATTATGAGAGGTTCGTGACTATTTGAATTTAAGGGGAAGTCTATAAATTTGAAATAGCGATAGTTATCAAGCAGTGTCTGGCTCTTTAATCCTTTTATTAATCAAGATAGTCAAAGTTTGATAGTTGCCGAGGCCTTAAGCCAGTCAGACTTGGTTCAGCAGCAGGGAGTTTCCTAATACACAATCAGCATTGCTCTTTCTTACTTGTCAAAACGTCGTATTCATTTTCACTGTTCGATGCAGTTTTATTGTCCAGCTTGTCATTTTCGTGGTCTTTTTCCTCGTCTTCTTCCTCTTCCGACGCCCGGCTTGCCAATCGGCTGACAGTCTGCCTAATATTCTCAAGGCGTCTCCGTCCAGCTGCTCGAATATGCGCTCTGGCAATCATGATTAGCGCCGGTATACAGGATGCCGCATGACCCAAAGCCTCCAAGATTTCGAACAATGTAACGCCAGAAAGCCCGATGAAGAGACCGAAAATTCCGCCAATCGAAGCAATAAGAGTAAATGCTGTGGATCGCTCGCCTTCACTCATAGTCGGTGTCCTCGCCTCGTTAGCATACACACTAAAAACGACATAGTCAGCAGGTGATAGGTCGTCGGCTCCAGTGGACTTAAATCATATAGTAAAGGGAAAAGTGCCATATCAAAGAATACCAAAAATCTCATTACAAAGAAATATAATTAAATCGGGTTGCGTAATGAAGACTAAGGGTAAGGTTATCATGAGACTGCGAAATAACGTTTGGAAGAAGGCTAATTAGTTGTTTAAAGTACACAGATGGTGGTGGTGAAAAAAAATTAGAAAAAGAGAGAAAATAAAATAAATTTTACCCAACGAGAGGGTAAATTTTGGGGGAAAAGCAGTGAAAATAAGAGGAATAAAACTGTCATTGTGAGATAGCAGGATAGTAAAATAACAGCATTTTATCATGAGCTAATTGGAAGTGAAGTTGAATATTGGATAAAAAGACGAGTCCTTGTTTGGATCTGCATGAGAGAGGACTTAGGGCTGGCAAGCGAGGCTTCTAAAGACTACGATGATGAAGGGAATCCACTTAGCTTTACACTATGCTAGTGCCCATTGCTTCCAGATAACTTGCTAAAAGTCATCTTCATCGATGGAGTGAGATCAGTTTTCAAAACACAACTGAGCCTTATCTCCATGAGAAATCCCTGTGCGTTGACAATGCTGCACTTTAATCTTACCTGCTATAATCTTGGCATTTCAGACTGTTGTATGCTCAGCATAATCCAGGCGACTTCAGTCATTCCTTTTGAGGGCTTCTGTCTGATTCACTTAAGGCCATTTCACGCGAGCATTCAAAGGGACGCAGGAGAACTGGCTTTCTAGGAATCACTTACTAGCTTGATTTTGAAGTACATTTCATTTCTTTCGAAGAGGCGACTGAAAGGGATTCGTAAAGTGACATCACCGTAAGCGAAAAGTTAAGGAACTGCTGATGACGTGAAATGGCAGCTGATGGAGCAGGAAACGGATGCAATTGGGATCGAACAGCCGCATTCCCTCCTAACGTAATCATATGCGCCAACATTGCAAGATCAAAGACGTAAGTATTTAGTGGAGGCTTCAGCAGTTCGGTCACAATTGCAGCCATTTCATATGTCATCTACAGCTACTTAACTTATCTTTCAGCAAAAATTTAGGCAAGGCATAAGATATCCAATCAAAGCATGAAATGCCTCATTAAGTGGAACAAATTGGACTATAAGAAGTAGGTAGGTTTTAAGCCGACCACCTTTCTTGTCTTCGTGTTTTGGTGGATTATCGTTAAGCATGGTGTCCTGCTCTGACGATGTACGTCACATCTCGGACGAATGCTCATCAAGGCTTAAAGGGGGTCGCAAGGCAATGCGCCTAGGACTTATTAGCACAAATCTACAGTCACATCTTTAAGGCTTACGGGGAGGCCAACTCATGAATACCTTTCACTCGTCTCTTCAAACGAAGTGATGGTTAGTATAACTTTTAGAATGGAGTCTGACTAATGCAGTAGTCTTGTATATGCAGCCCTCGGCTTCGTGACTATCAGATCAGAATATTTAGATCCATATTGAGTGGGGGTGATTATTTTAATTTTCAGACCTCAACTCCTGGTTTTTGCAACTATATAACAATGTTACTTATATACTACAATGATACTCTCATATGTGCTTAAGGGGTTGTATTTAGCTGAACGTATTGTCTAATGAATAAAGTGTAGGTCTCTTTTGTCCACATGTGATACTAGTCAAAACGTCCTTGCAACACTGCCCAGGTTTTCTTGCTGGCCCTGCTTGATCTGAAGGCGGTCAAGGCGGAATTAAGCTTATAAGTCAGGCATTATTTAGAATGTGACAGCATCCTTTAGCTCTACATACTAAAGGGAATACTATAGTGTAGAAAACCACACCAAGAATCAGAAATAATCGACTTCAATCGTAGGCTGATTCTATCGAGCAAGTCGAGTGTGTATTATTTGAGCTAGTGCTGAAAAGCTGCAAGTGCTATGCAGCTGCAGTCTATTTTCATTCATCCTTCCGATTATATTTTGCTCAGAGACAAAGATATATGTGCTAGAGCGTTCAAGTATCCCAAAATTTTTAAGCTTTGTCTGATATAGAATTCTGTCCTTTGGTTCATTCAGCATGCCGTAGTTGTCCTTTGGTTCATTCTTGAAAAATTTAACGGGTAAATAAATAAATAAGATAAAATGACTGAATTCACAATAAAGTTATGAAAGGACATTAACTATTTTGGCTAGTAGAAAGGGGAACAAATTAGGCGGGGGTGTGTATAAGAGGCCCATAAATGCGTGCTTCATTCCTAATTTATTCTTTACTCATACTAATGACGTTAAAATAGGGGATATAAGTTCATTGCTATTAAGCGGTTTTCGTTTAGCAGACATAAATTGCCAGGATTAAGAGCTAGAAAGAAAAAGCTGAATTCAGAGCAAATATCGATCAGAATTAATTAAGAATAATTTAATAATATTAAGAGATAGCATAGGAGTCAACAACTTTTGGGGGCAAAGCAGGAATTGGATAACTTTTCATGCAGCTTCCTGATGATGCTATCTTTCAAAAAAGGTAAGCGAATCACTTAAGGCTTAGAATGTCAGGACCATGTAAAAAGAATGGCTATCATTTTTCACGTCCGCGCCTTCTTAAAGTGAATGATTTGATGCCCTCTGCGGCTATCAGGGCATAAAAGTGCCTTCAAGGATTTATGGGCTTGAAAATTGATAGTGGCTGAATATATGGTCACTACAGGACAACAGATAGTGTCAAAATTCTAACGCTTTTCCTGATGAAAAGACATCTGAGGTAGGCAAAATATTAGGTAATCAATTGAAATTAATAAAACATTGGAACAATATTCGAAGAAAAGTTGAGTTTCGAGGAATCTTTTTTTCATAATTGTTGAGCTCACTTTTCATTTCGAGCAAAAGTTCTTAATGAAAGGATTTGACTGTCGCTCCCACCAGAAGAAGACGGCAGATTCCTCTTGACCAGCTATCGATTGGCTTTACTGGAACATTTTTTGTGACGCAATCATCTCCGATTCCAGTGAAAACGTGCTAAGCTTTTGTCCATCGAATTACAGATATCATCAGAGCAAGGCATTATCCCTACAACCATATACAAGCTAACGAGTCAAGAAAACTCACCAGCTCATGCATAAATATTGTATATATATATATATATATATATAATATCTAAGCTATTTGATTAAATATTAAATCCTTTGGCTAGTTCAAGTCATATACCAACCTCGAAACATGTTAGTGTGTCTATTCGTGTGTGTTTATGGGCCTGCATAAGTTCCTATTTGTACGAAACTAAAAGCAATGTGATGTATTTATACTATTTCATTAAAGTAGATGAAGGACTGATAGTAGAATTTTCATATAATCATATGAGTATAGCTGACGTTTTCATTGAATTTCACATAGCATTGCTTTCCCTAAAGTTGGTGGACTGCAGATTCAACTTCGCCTATTGGAAGTCTCGAAACTGCTTACCTACGAAAAATAAGTAATGTAATCGATTGATATGGCAAAAATTCGTTTGCTTCATCGACAATCCCACCAAAGGATGTGATATGGGAAAGTGCCTGGCCTTCCTTGAAATTCACATCTGCCCTGTGATCCAAGGGCACTCATGGCGATGTGCCTGAGTGGGTAACGTGTCAACTTCATATGCTGTACTGTCATGATTCGACTTCCTCTGGAGGTACTTATAAGACCGAGGCGAGGTCTAAACTGCAGTCAACCCTGGATGAGAACGACTTTTGGGAGAGCAAGCCTCATACCTACTCGTATAACTGATTTACTGATAGCCTGAAAACTCTGCTTATATGCGAAACATGTATTGCCTCGTCGGATGATTTACATGGACTTTCTAAGTTTTGCAGCCGAAATACTATGATCGGCAAACGACTAATTTATGAGCATTCAATATAATGTCTAGTTTCTGCCGTGAGCTCAGCTAGCTCTGATTTTCGAACACAACAGCCCCTACATGCGGTTTTGGGCTCAGCAACTCTGTCGAATGAGACGAAAATTATCTAACATAAAATTTACCACATGAAAAGATTATTCAATAGTATCATGATCTGGATAATTGGTCGGTTTTCTGTTCTCTTTACTATGAGTAATCACATAAACGCACATAGACAGACAGTTACATGTTTCGAGGCTGAAATTTAATTTTAACTTACCAAATCACTTTATACCTCATCAAAGTGCTTAGACATAGGGTTTATATACAGCGAGCAAACAGAAGGCCACACCATCTTGATCTTCATATCTACAACATTTAGAGATGGGTCTGTCAGTTTTCTTGACTTTTTAGCTAGAATATGGTTGTTAGGATGATACCCTGTTCTGATTATGTCCATCATATGACAGACCAAATCGAAGGAGTTTTATTCGGAGATAGCCTTAACAAGAATGTTGCAGTAAAGACAATCGACAGATGGTGAAGATGAATTCGCTGTCTTCTTCTGGTGGGATCAACCTATGACTCTCTTCGCCAAACTCTTTTACTTGAAAGTGAGATAAGCCCAACAATAAAACAATATCCTGAATAGGAGAAACGGCTGTGGCTCTTATTTTGTCTACCTAGATTATTCAGTAAAACCGAATCTCCTGGTGTGTGGGCAAAAATATCTTCTATTCCAATATCCCTCTAATTTTCGTCATGGTTCCTGTTTTATTTTTTACTCGAATGGTTTCATTTATCAGAAATCCGACATTTATTAATATAACACATTTCTTCATTGTTATGATATGAAGTGATATTTAAAATATCCACAATGCATTGAAGAAATTGCTTGTAGTATACACTCATAAAGCATTTCGTCCAGGCTGGACCACACCTTGACCTTTACCCAGGTTTCACCTGCAACCCCTGCGACTCCCGACGAAACTGTTGCCACTCTTTTCACTCGATTTTAATCAGCATTTATATTAACTCCGAGCGAAATAAAGTGTAGCTTATCATCGTTTAAATGGTGCATTCGTTGCA